TAGCTTCATCATTCATTTTTATATTTCAATTTTTCTTAACTGATTCAGTCTAATTATGGTTACTGAAATTATTTTATTTTATTTCAATTTTCTAATAAAATTGTTAATATAAATTGTAAAATTAATTTAATTAGAAGAACTTGTTTTTTGTTTCAAATAATTACAATCGGTATATTATATACCCAACATCAACATGTAGAAACATTTTTGGTGATCAGGGCAGATAAGCACCGATCTGCTGGGTGTCGTAATGTCTCTTTTATTGTCTGTAAGTGTACATTCGTGTGTATTTATTTGTTTGTGTATGTTAGTATTTGTGTGTGCGCGTGCATGTATGTAAGTGTGTGTGTGTGTGTATTGAGTATTGTGTGTTTGTTGTGTGCGTGTGTATGTCTGTTGTGTGTAATGAAAGTGTGTGTGTGTGTGTGTGTGTATGTATGTATGTGTGTGTGTGTGTATGTGTGTATATATATATATATATGTGTGTGTGTGTGTGTGTGTGTGTGTGTGTGTGTGTGTGTGTATGTATAATGCTTGGTTGTGTGTTGTTGTTTATGCTCAAAATGATTTGTGTATGTGTATGTGTGTTTACTAAGATACTAAGATAAGTGTGTATATGTGTTTGACTGCATGCATGTATGTGTGCTTGTGTGTTTGTGTGTGTGTGTTTGGTTGTATATCAGGTCCTTATTTATACAAAGATAAGTATGTTTGGGTGTTTTATCTTGGGCTCCTAACCAACGTAATGTGAATGGGTCTGTGGTGCTTGCTTGTGCTATGCATGATATTAACTGTGTAATGAAATGGTTGCTTGCTTGCTTCTATTATTGAATATTTAGAATTTTATCGGCACACATGTGAAAACGAACACATTCATATAAACGTTTGTGTGTTGTGTGTGTGTGTGTGTGCGTGTGTGTGTGTGTGTGTGTGTGTGAGTGAGTGGTGAATGTGTATGCGTGAGTGTGTGAACCTATCATACAAGTATATTTCATACTTTTATATAAGTCCTGAAAGTACATGTTTGGTGAATGAATGGAAAAAGAAAGTGCGTTTTGCCCTGTTGTATCCTTTGTTAAAATGGTGTTCATTGTATTGTAAACATATGCAAGATTTTATTGTATTGTATCGTAAACAAATGTTTACCGTACTGTCTTGTAACATAAAAATTAGTTTACTGTATTACGTTGTATCGTAAAAACTGTTTTCCATCATAAACTGTATGATATTCCCAATTAAAATTTATAGAACTCCGAAATTCTACTGAGTACTTGCTCTCAGTTATAACAATGTTTGTTATCCCAGATGCGATATTATTGTAAACGATCGAGTGAGTGGCGTTCAAGTGTTCAGTTGCACAAACAAGCACGCTAAACACATACATACATCATACAGAGAGGGAGAGAGAAAGAGAAAGAGAGAGAGAGAGAGAGAGAGAGAGAGACACAGACACACACACACACACACAGACATAGAAAGTTGTTTAAAACTTTTTTGTCATAGTTTATTGCAGCATTTAATCGTTCAGTCGTGTGAGAAGTGCCATCGTGGTATGCCAAACAATTGTGTTTCGGCTGATTTATGCTCGTAAAAATAATTAATCTATAACGTTTATCATTGCTTAGTTGTTTTTTTTAATGGTTTCGTTTTGTTGTGTTGAACTTTTTGTATGTTTTACATCGTGAGAATGAACATACAAATACGTACAAATAACATTTTATGAGTTTGTATGCTGTGAGGGAACACACTAAGACACACATAAACACATTTAGAAACACATTTACACACATGTAGTCTAAACACACATACACGCATTTAGTAACACATATACACATTTTGACTCANACATACACATGAATTGATATGCACAAACGCATACAAAACGTATTTATCTACAA